CCCGTACATACCTACATGAATCATGCCAGCTTCACCGCAGAAGTAGCGCAAATAGGGCACTAATCTTTACTGGCCTGCAACCATCGACTCCCGTTGCATGTAGAGATCAGCGTGCTCCCTAGAGCGACAAGCTCTCTCTCGTGTTTTAACTTATTTGGTCTCTCTATCTCGCCACCGTAGCACATCCGACGTTATTAAAGGTTTAGACCCTAATTGTGACGTTTCCGATGTTTTACTTCTGGTTTTTAGTTCACTCCGCAGCTTAATCATCGCTGCGAAGCGCTCTTATACATAAGTTTTACCCCGTGTCTTGAGCGGTTGGTGCTTCGATGGCTGGTGTATTGCACGTAGAAAGAAAAGAAAGTTGAACGATAGCAGTAACAGTTCCAAATTTCACAACGATCGAAATCCAGTTCAAATACATAATCGTTATCATCTCTTTCATGTGGCGGCGGTGGGCGTATTTGAGAACCGGCTGGGCTCTTGAGGCACTTGTGGCGCGCGCGTTATCGCGTTTTATACCACGACTTTCGCCACGAAATGGTCACTCGTCTACTTTAACACTCCTCCACCCAATACCCTACTCCTCTTTCTCTATCATGAACACACGTTTTTTTGTGCTTTTTGTCTCCAGGCTTGCGCTCGTGAATTAATTTCCAACGCGTATTGCACACAATGCTAATGACTATATCCTTCAAGTAAAATAATTTCGTATGTATGATCGTTGTATTTTCCGCCGTAGTAACTTCATCGTATATTCTTCTTTTGTTATCCCGGTGATTTCGCAGAATATTTTTAAAAAAATCAGGGTCTTGTAGCTGGATTCTCAAATGCTTATTACAGATGAGCCTGGGCGTCGGCCTAGCCGCTTGCGGCGTGTCGTCCGTCTTCTTTGGTTCAATGTTCGTTCCTATCAGAAAGTACGATGCTGGAGATGGTATTTCTCAACTGCTCATTTTTGTTTCATATTTTCAACATAATGAGGTTTAAAAGAGTTGTTAATAAAAGTTTAGCTAGTCATGATCGAATTTTGTTCAGGAATGTTCGCTCAGTGGGTGATGTCGATCGCCATTCTTATAGTCGGCTTCATCGTCTTCTGCATTCGAAGCTTCCCCGGCTTCTATCCATTAGCGATGCTGGGCGGAGCATTTTGGGCTGTCGGTAATGGATTTGGATTTTTGGCGGAATTTGAAAAAAAATTACGTTTGGAAATAAATACCTTCTCTCTTAAAGAAACGATTAGCAGAAGAAGGCATTGTTTGATGTCTTGGAGTGCGCCGCGCGCCCCGCTCTTTTCCAGAATTGCCAGCATTTCATGCATAGTCAACTTAAAGGATCAGTCGGGGAAATTAGACCAGTTCCTCACCAAAATCAACGCCTCTTCTACCAAATAAAAATAAAGGATAAAGCATTTGCCGTTGATCAATCCCTTTGGGATGCGGCACGCATTCTACTTCCATTTGTACATTCGTAGTGGCGTTTGAATGCGATGTGGCCTATACAATGACTTGCGGGGGCCAGCCGATGTACAAGTCAGTGTTTTTATCCTCCCAGACAAGTCTGGTACCAATTAACCGACCCCGGAGGGATGGAAGGCTTGGTTGGCCCGGGCGACTCACGACCCAGGATTTGATCCCGGACCGCTCGCGTGGTAAGCGCGCCACTTGCCACTACACCACTTCCGCCCTCTTGCCGATTCCTATCCCATTTTTAGTGAACTGTTGGTTGGCAATTAGCTCATGTAAGGTGAATAGAAACGATAAATGCTCTCTGAATAAAATTTTGGGGAACTCGGACTCTTTTAAATAAGCTGAAGGCATGCCATTCAAATAAGCTGAATTCTCACTGACTCATTCCTTTAATTCTGAGATGTGCGATGCGTTAGGCTCCGATTAGGAATCTTACAACAATTGGATGCGTAAATATCCTGCAATCCGCAATGCGGTGCAAGGCTACTATGTGCCACCCAGTTTTATCCCCTTTAAATGAATATTTTACCTATTATATTAAGCGACACCAAAGGAGAGTAAGGCTTGACAAATCTGAGCGCGATCCGATCACAGAATTGATCTTGGAACCATGTGCGTGGAAATCGTCACCGGCCCTTATACCGCCAGTCACATCTATGCATTCCAACCTCATCGAAGCCCACACATGGAAATCACAGACATGGGGCATTTAAAAATAATGAAGCAACCTAGATCATTTTTATAATATCTTATCATTTATTTTTCTAGGTAACGCCACAGCGATTCCGATAATCTCCAGGCTTGGGATGAGCGTTGGAATCCTCATATGGAACACATCAAATTGCTTGACGGGCTGGGCTGGCGGAAGGTGAACTCACTTTATCCTTCGTTATTACTCATAAAATTCTTATTGTTAGGTTTGGCCTCTTCGGCATGAAAGCTAATCCACCTGCCAGTGAACTCCTGAACTACGGTGGACTGGTCTGCGTGATCGTAGGGTGAGTTTCGTAGATATAATACTAATATTTGTCGAGCTCGTATTTTTATTGTTACACTTTTGTTGAGATAACTCATTTGTTAAAGGCAAAGGTCGGGCTCAGGCACGCTAGAGAAGTAATTCCCGTGCCTGGAGGTTGTATGTGGGTAGCTGCACACATTGCAGCAACTTCCCACCTTGAAAAACCCGTTAAGGCCCCGGGGCGTTCGGTTTCAATCCAGGGCCGCCTGGTCAATCCAGGACCGCCCACCTCCGGAAGTGGTGCGTGGCTGGCATAACGTGTGAAATCAGCTAGGTTGATTGCCGTATCAACCGATAGAACGACTGACATCTCCAGAAAACTTGTTTGTACGTGCCTCTTTCCCAAGCCAGCCTCCTTCACTGCTAGTGGGAAAGAGGGTTTTGTTAACGGCCTTGTCGACGGTTTTTCTCAGTTTTTTCTCCACTGTCGTTCCACTTCGCATCTCTATACTCAGTTTCAATCGCCATAATACCCCCTTATTGAGCCCGACTTTTGCCTTTAAAGCCACTAGTCGGGATCAGGTGCGAAGGGATATTCCCTTCTATATAGAGAGCTCTTCAAGACGCGACACGATCGCGAGGAAGTGTGAGGCAGCGGCGCTAAGGCCTTGCCTTGTGTGCTATCGTGCTGCCATCCTTATCAGTCGCGGCATACGTGGTGTTTGCGCCCTCTCGCGTACGACGTGCTCTCGCGTTTTCCCTCTCCTCGCAGCGCTGTGTCTCTCCGTCATACCACGGCCGACCTCAAGAGGGGAATTTCAGTGTTTTCTATGACGCTTTTGCTTCTTTCCCGCTGATGTACTTTATAGCTCTCCTTGTCCAATTGTCCAATTTCTGAACAAAATAACCTAGCAATTCGATCCTGATTCCTTCCTTTAAAGGTTCTACATGTGGGTAACACTGTAGTGTAGTAAGCAACAAATCGTTCGGTCGGCTGTGTAAGCGGAAGGCCAATTTGTCCAACGAAGCAGGAAACAGTCTGTAACAACACTCTTCCCGTAAATATTATGGAACAGTGAAATGCCACTGAAATGTTCGGCAGGTAGTGGATTGGTAAGGGCTACGCAATTGACGTAAGGTTATAATACCGCCGTCGTTCGGGTGACCGTATCACTCAACGACATAACTATATTTTTTGTTTCTAATCTCTTTCTCGATGTGTCACACTCGCTCTGAAGTAGCACAATCTTCGGTCGCCCTTTTTCAGAGGCATCCTGTTCTCGAGAGTCAGGAGCGAATCTGGTGCGAGCGAAAAGGAGGCTGTTACACTTAGCAGCATTAAAAGAACGTCCAAAGTAGGTTACTCAGTTACCCTTCGGAAAGCTGTCTGAAGACGATGTATATCGGTTCTACAGTGTGAAATTTGAAGACATTTTTCAGGACATTGTCAATGGCACAGAGACGTTACTTCTCACCCACGATGAGGCATTAGCCGAAAAGGAATCCAGGGAGATAGCTCGTTCAAAGCATGACGGAAAGCAAAGAGCCGTGTTAGCTATTGATTTCGCCATATCATTAAACGTGGCCAGTTTTGGTGAACGCGCGTGTGCATAGTAGTCTTACTTGAGTTTAGAGAAAATCTAATGCTTTTGTGGTCTTACCGTTGCTGTGCACGTGCAGAGTACTTTTTCTCATGACATGCACTTCTACAGGAACCTACAATAACGCTCTAACGTCCTTGGTCAATGCTTCAATACCGTACTCTCAGCAGAGTGGTAAGGAGGCGCTGGTCGCACCTAGTGTAAGGTATAAAGATGTGCGTTGCACCCACGGAGATATTCAAAGTACAGTTTGAATGCGGAGTTCGCGACGAGAAGACAGTATTCTAGAATTTGAGGGAGGTGGTCAGTGATGCAGGGATGAAGAAAAACGAAGAAACGGGAACCTAGGAATATTTTTATTTATTTATTTATTGACTGCGCCGAAAAGTGCGCGCTACAACGTGAAACTAGGGCCGCAGGTAACTGTGAAACTGTTCCAGAGAGACACTAAAACAAGCATACACAGAAAAGAAACACAAATCATTCCCGAAGAGTATTCAATTTTCTTTCACTAGGTTAAGTGGAAGCTAGAATACTAGAGAAACAAGGCAATAAAGCGACGAGTATCTCACCAGAGCTCGCCAAAAGTGAAAAAAAGAAAACCATGCATCTATTCTTAGAAAAAAAGCGTATGAAATAATTTCGAAAAAAAAATAGAGAAAGCGAAGAGGTAAAAAAAGAGAAAGAGAGCCTGTCAGACAGGAGGTTCATGTTGGAGTCACAGCCTAGTCAAGTGAAGTAAAAGTGAAGTAGTCCAAAATAACGCTCCAACACTTTAAACTTATTGGACCAGATATCATCCCACGATGTAGGAAAGTAACTCACTAATGCTTGGAATAGGTAGCTTCTTTTGCTTATTGATTTGCGCGTTGGCATTGTCTCATCGGTGATGACATCTTCAAAGCTAACGCTCTCTCTACTAGAGCGGCTAGAGTCAGGCGGCGAGGAATCGGCTGGCAGAGGCGTCACGGCGCGCGTATGGATTTACCAGGCCGCTGAGGCATACCCTTTGCGAAATCCGCATCGCCCCAAACTCTTATGGTTAGAGGATCCGCCTGCCTTTCTATGGCCCTATTCCCCTTCTTCGACATCCAACCCTATCGTGGAATCCTCCTTCGATGGCACCCCTACGATAACTTCAAGCGTTTTAAGAGATGCTTATTCACTTATGCGCCCAATGCATGACATTGGAGCTTTGACTCAATTCTCGCGCAATATGACTGCTTGACGATTCCTGTTTCTTTTTTGCTACAGTTTACCTTTTTCAAAATCCAACTGCCTTTTTTTCTCTTGTGGGAACATTAAGGTGAAAGCCTGATAACTGCGAATCAGTTTCATGAAGCAAAAATGAATTTCAACGAAGAAACACGGGGTGGCTGTATCATTTTTGAACATAGGAAAATCGACCTCTTCTGAAAAAATAGCACAAAATTTTTTAGTGTTTTCGACATGGATTTTTGTGTTGATATCTGAACTCGCCATGAAATTTGTCACATTTTCTATCTGGACAGTTTTTCAGAAACTCTATGAACTTTGAGTTTTCGAACAAATTTAGGTGGCTGTATCATTATTGAACGCAGTGTACTATAGGCTATGGTCACGCTGGCTTGAAGGTGGAGACGACGTCGCTAGTGAAGGGCGTTGGATCCAACATAATCCCCAGCGCGCTAAGGGAGAACTCAATTCGCCTCTCAATGCTCTTCCCAATGATTCGCAAACTGTCCCCGCACGCCCCAGTCGTCAATCACTGCCTTTATTTATGTCATGTGGAGGAGCATCGATGATGTTTCACTGTAGAGTATCTTCACTTGGAATCAGCCGGAAAATCACAGCAATAGGTACTAATTGCCTTCACGGTGTACCACTTAGAAAATTGCAAGCAATGAAGTTTCCACTGAAAATTAGCCTGCTTATTTTCTCCTCACAGCCTTTCTTTTTCAGTGGTATTGCAATGGCTCTGATTGCCGGTGTTTTCTATGGGATGACTTTTGTACCGGTCATATACATGATTGATAACCCGGATAAATTTCCAAGTTATCCAAATGATGGACTTGCCTACGTGTTCTCTCACTATTTCGGAATTTTCCTCACCTCGACGGCAATGTTCATCTGCTACGCTGTGGTCAAGTTGGTATTTCACAACCTTGCATCAATTTTATATTATTTTCTGATTTTTGAAAAAGCGTTGGCATCTAGAAGAAGATGTTGTAGATTTTTTCGGGAGAGGTAGGGTTTCAGACATAGTTCAGTTTTTTTTTCTATTGCCAAGTCACCTTTATCTACTACAACTCCTCCAGAAAAATGAACAAATATCTAGCTCACGCGTCGCCCTGCTTTTTTAATATTTTCCGTAATATCTAGATCCATTAAACTCGTTGTAGTCGTCTTTTGTTGGTACACTTGGTAGAATGTGTAGGATGTGGATATTTCTCGATTGATTTTTCAGAAATCAACTGAATGAATTCGGATGAGTTTTTTACATCTGCAATCTGGTGTAACAGTGCAATCAGTACCATGATTTCATGCGCGCGCCATGAAGCGGCCTTGTGCTCATTGAAGTTTCAAATTAGTAGTTCCCCCGACCCAATCCCAGCAATGTCAACTTATTGCCCGATTCGTGCCTCCTTTACAATTTTTCGGCAACTCACGCTACGTACTGTCAATGTTCCAATGATGTCATGATTGGTGTAATCGTCCAGCACCATTCCCTATGAGAAGCACACCCCTGTGCCGCACTTTCTGCTATATTTCAGCATGGTCGGCAAGCCTGGAAGGCCACGAACACCGCGCATGGTGAAACTAACACTTTAGGTCTTTGTTGCTATTTCCGGTTTTTCCTATCTGCCTTGTCATGAAGCGAAAAGAACTCTGCTATGTTTTGTACAAGACAGCTTCTTTGTGCATATGAAGTGCTGATCTTGCGAGTGAAAGTGAATGCTGCGAAAAATGTAAAGTAAGAAAGCGGAAGTCCCTCAAGTGCCAAGTAACAAAACTGATTATGTAAAAAGAAGACGGAGGAACCATCCCTCTGTTATGAGGACCGCTAATTATACACTTCGTCCATTCATTTATGAAGAAGTCACACAAATCTGTTTTTTGAGTCAACTCAAAGCTCGTTACCATCATGGTAGAGAAAGCTTGGAAAAGTAGCAACAGTTGGGATGAAGTCCAGCGTTTCAAGAAAAGATGAGACGTTCACTGTACTGATTTGCTGGATTGTATAGTTTTTTGTAGACGTAACCGACCGTTGGTTCCATCATTTATTGTACTACCGTCACTGCTCGCCGGTCTACTATGGGCAATTGCCCAATCCTCGTTTTTCGTCGCCAATCAACACCTCTCTCAGGCCGTTACGTTTCCAATTATTGCAATGCTCCCAGGATGCATCGCATCTGCTTGGAGTATAGTTTATTTCCATGAGATTAAGGTGAGCGTTTTTGAGGCTGTTGTGGAGAGTTCCTTCTTGCACGAAAATTAGTCCACTCTTTCGGCTGTGCACAGTGAAATTAGTGCAAAATGTTGAAATTTATTCAATTTCAGGGTAGCCGGAATTTTAAAATTCTCGCTGTTGCCATGCTGGTTACGCTTTCTGGAGCTGTTATGGTCGGACTGTCCAAGTTTGTTAATCTGTAACCAATTGGACCAATTGGTAATTGTTGGGTCATTATCCTATCAGAATAGCTCTTATTAAACATCAATACTACTGTGATCTATTCTCATATCACTTCCTCTTTATAATCTCTCATTGTTTGCCTATGTACAAATTTAATTATTCAACATTTTCACTGACAACAAGATGCTATGCCGGAACATTCACGAATAGTACTGTTGTTTGTGGCTAGTAGTCGTTATGGCTCAGGACAGATACTACGAGCCTTATGGTCTGTAATAAACATTATAGTTATTATCTATGTTGGAAGTCGTATCACGTGTGTGGCCCTTTCGGCTTCGAATTACCGGCGAAAACGGCAGCGTCTATGATATTGAATTGGTAAAGAATTCGATATTGTGGATTCGTTCCCTCACTTGCGCGACTTTGTAGGCATCTTCCACTCCGTAGCGCGCTGGCTAACACTAAGAGACATTAAGTGACAGTGATTTAGTGAAGGGTCTATTGAGATCCACCTGTTTGCATGTTAAACCTTCGATCTTGTCTCTTGAACGTGCCTCTCACTGGAGTGTGAATAGTGAATATTGCTTGTATGTATAATGCTTAATCCATGCCTGTTTCAAGGGAAGTGTCTAAAAGCACATACTACGATCCAGGTGAGTGAAATATTGCGAACAAGCGAACAATGTAGCAAGAGTCGTAGGCGGTGCGACACGAGGGGTCGTTGTAGAAGAAGATGCGCCGGAAATGGTATTAGGGGCAAGGTCGTCGGTGCTGGTTGGTCCGCCCATCGTGTACGGTATCACTAGCCTGCCACACAGCTTCCCGCTACGCTCTCTTGTATGCGTCTGTCATGCTCTCGCGCACTGCCCTTTATCTCATTACCTTCCCTTGAACTCCTCCATCGCGTGGAGGGAACGGCGACTTTCGTGTTTATTGGATTAAATGCGCTTCATTCTTTTTGTCTCAACTGGGAGTCCGCCTCACGCCCTTTCGTATCCGAACGTTGTTGTTCATGGGACGAGCCACTGAGGAGCCTCTCGCAACAAGTCACTTCAGACTGGCCACTGTTCTTTCTTAGTTTGCAAAATCCATATATAACATAAGTGGCGTCATGTTATTTGGCTAAGCGAGTCCCACAAACCCCGGACGCGCCTTACGTTTGCATGGATGATGGGCTTCCACGGCGAAAACGCACATCTCCACAGCGTTCTAGCTCAACATGTCAGTCCGATAATTCCAAACGTGTCTCGTTGCGAACTCCACAGACACTGAAAATGATATACCTTTGACAATAATCGGCACTTCATTGAGTTTTAGCTTACACAAACAGTATGTGAGTAGAAAGATTACAGTTCCTATTATTCACTCATTATCTGCGCATCGGTGCTCTCTTTCGTCAGTCGATACCCGAGCAAATAAGGTGTAATGCAAAGGCTGGCAGGAGCTACCATGTTCTGCTGAGAACTCTCATTTCTCTTTCACGACATTACCTACCTACCCAAGTATCTGAACTCAAGAAATGTTCCAGCAGAATGGCGCGCCCTGACTGCGGCCTTATCAGCACGCGCACCCAATTGAATGCGCGTAACGTTTAAGATAAATTAATTCTGTCTTGGTTATGACTACAGTAAAATAAAAATCTGGAAGAGAAGTAATGCGTAGCTGAAGACTTTCTAGGCATTACACTTCATCATTCGTTAACCATCACGAGGAAAAACGGGGGTTTCAAAAATTTAATAATTTAAAGAACGCCTCGAAAGCGGTGAGGATTGCCCCTTTTTGCCCAATGATTACTGATCTAACGAGCCTGAGAAAGGAGTCGCGCGTATGTAGTAACCCAGTGGCCGCAATCACGATGCCAATGACATTCATGTTTGGGTTGCTGCACGCTTTTAAAGCGAGGGATTACGATAAGTTTGGACTGGGTTCATAGTGGAAGTGGAGATGCTGAATAATGCCCCAGTGGCGAAAAAAGCAAAGAAATCCGTCAAGAAGGCGCAAAATGGGACCCCTTTCTTTGCCCGTTGACCTCCGATAATGGACGAGCTAGCAACCAATTAGGAGGTCGTTTGCACATGTTATGCTGATAGCCTCTATCATTTCAGCAAGCATCATGCTTTGATTGATCACGCATCCCATGAAAAGTTATAGGATACACTCTGGAAGTGGAATATCTCGTCACACTGGCAATCGAAGGGCGCTGCTGCTGGGGGCGGAGCACAGACCGTGGCGGGGCTCAGAAAGGAATGGCAAGCCTTGTACGCTGCAACTAGCGCACCTTTGACCACAAAAACGCAACATTTCGTTTCCTTGGGCCCCTGACTACTGCTTCCAATGGTGCATGTACTTCCACGCTGCATACGCACTTTATCGTAATCTCTCGCTTTAAGCGTTCATTAGTTAGCCTATTGTGGCGAGGGGCAGAATAGTTACGCTCTTAGGCGAGTAGGCCGATAAGAGCTTAGCATAGAGTATGTATCGGATTTGTTGCTCTGCGCATTGAACGAACGCCTAATCGCCTAACTGTCCGCTCGCCTACTCGCCTTATCTATGCGTATATTTTTCATTGTAGGCTAATCGACTAATCGCCCAATTTTACGCACGACCGCCAACGCTTCATAACATACATCGACAAACTGGCAATTAAGGCTATTTTGAGTGGAAAGTTTTTTAAGGAAGAAGCCGACGGTTATGACAAATTTACGGCATGCAGATACTTCCACCACCTAGGTTCGGAGTTATGCACCACTCAGCATTGCTGAGCCAATCTGACGATGAGCGCGCCCTTCTTAGCCACCGCAAGATCGCCACATCTTTTTCCTTTAAAGATCGGTCTCCTTCGCAGCAGGCAAATCTCTTCTTTCTCATCCATTCTATCGTATCACGTTCTCTAAGGTCGCGAGAGAGACTCGACTTACTCCAGAACTTTTTTATTTAGTGTCAGGCTAAGGCGAAGGAAAGTCTCCTCCTATTCAGGCAACTACCACATCTACACTTGTTTTCAGGTGCAATACCAAAGTAAACATGTGAAGGAAACTAATTACTTCAAGTTTCGAACTTAGAAAAAGTTCTTTGTTACAGATTTCCCTTGCCATCGGTCTTGCGGCTTGTGGCGTATCTTCTGTCTTTTTTGGTTCTATGTTTGTTCCTATCAGGAAGTATGACGCCGGAGATGGTACTTCCTTCATTCATTCGTTTTTCCTTTATGTTTTAAAGGAACTATACGCCAGGGAGTCAGCCGACTTTGCGCACAGGAGCTGACTCTCTTTGGCCGGATTGTGGGGGTGAGACAATCGAGGGATTGATAGGTTACAGCCGGTGACGTCGGAATGCGGTCCATGACTGCATCTCGGCTTGTATTGCGTGCTGCGTGGGCGAGAGGGCACCCTTTCACTGGCTTGGGGTCTTGTAGGTGACATGGTTTTGTGGCACTTCTCGCTGGAGAGTGGTCGTTCGATGAGCGCCCCTTTCTAGTTAAGGATGTCTGTCCATTTTAATCATCTGTATCCAAGCCAGATGTACCCCTTCTCAGAGCGAAGTTATTGGGGAAATTGAGAATACATTTTTTTGGCTCTTGCCGTTTAAGATGTCCAGGAGGAAATTTTTGAAGGTTATATTTATAAAAGTCATTATTGACTCGTTCTTGAGTGTTCCTTGATTTGTCTTTGCTCAGGAGTGTTTTCCACCTAATTGGGTGATTTTCTTACGGGAAATTCGGTATTGAGTTTTGTTGTCTTTCTGTACTTGAACTTGATTTTCCTGGATTTTTCTATATTGGGCTATTGCTGGAGTTAGCAGGTTACTTGGTGCAAGTCGTAATATATTGTCAATTGTGAACAGATGTCTAAAAATCAAGCTTGGTCGAGTGAACGAACTTGCGCCTAGATTCTATCAATGGAGAATTGCTTATGTATTGGCGGGAGAGGAGTATGGCAGCGTTCAGTCGGTTCATGATGAGCTTGAGCGCCAACTTATCGAATTAATTAGCGCATAACTACAAGAATAATTTAGGAAGCCTTGCACTTTTCATGATTTGCGTGTAGACAGTCCTTTTGGACATCTGAGATGCCTACGCCTACTCATGCGACTTCGCGGTGTGCGAAGATCAATATTCGCAGAAAATTCAATTTTATGGAGATCACGTGTGAGACTGACGTTCTTGAAAATGGTTCTAGGGATTTTGGTGCTGAGCAAATGTCGAGAGGGACTATAAGATGGAAAGGGGCGCAACATCAAACAATATGCATCGCCGTTACATTCTATTAGGATCCTTTCTTATCAAAAGGAAAACACACATGCATGTCAGGGGTTTTTTTTTACACTTTTCAGAGCTGCGGTGTGACCGTTACAGACATATTTTTATTTAGATGAAGCGAAAGTAGTCGCTGAATCGAAGGAGTTTAGTGCATGATATGACTTATGCTTGAGACCCGGGTCTATCAAGCAGGGTAAGTTCTTCAGCGTCGATTACCTTTGGCTCAATAGGTGATGTATTAACATATAGCCGCTCGATCGATGCGATCAACACCGGCCGCGAGTGTTGCATCTGCCTTTCTATCTCGTTCTCCAATTGCATCGAATTTCATTCTCTGGCGCGAGCGCACGGATTAGGGGAATTCCTTTTGCAGATTATTTGGGCCGCCCAAGGTCTCCACACACCGATTTTATGCTCCAAAGTTCAAACTTCGAAGAACATCGCCTACGTAGGAAGATGCTTCATGCTGTATGTGGGTATGACGGGGGTCGAGACTAGTCGAGTACAGTGGACTGGGGCAGTCTCGGCGCACGGTGAGAATTGGAATCTACGTCAAGTCCGGAGAGACGGTAAGTGATTTGGAACTAAGTAAGATTGGTCATGCGGGTCTGAGCCGAATCATTTTGAGTATACGCCTTCAATTGATTCAACGAGTTTTTCCGCTACCGGGTTCTGCTTGTTGGTGAGCATCTGTGATATTCCCGCCGCGTGCACATGAAGGTTATCGTAACATGTGCAAGTACCTATGATTCTGCTGAAGCCAGC